GGGCAGCAGGAGGGTAGAGCAGTGGTGCCCCAGTGTGTATCCTAGCATGGCAGATTGTCCAGTAGCCTCTGGGTTCACACACCCTTTGTTTTGGGTGCTTCAGGGGGTAGCCGAGTTAGTCTGTTACAGAAAAAACCAGCAAGCAAATGGTCTGGTAGCACTTTATAGACTCACAAAACATGTAGATGGTGTCGTGAGCTTTCGGGCACCTCTCCATCTCAATGGGGTGTGAACTCACCCCATCACTAGCTCATAACAATAGCCACAAGCACCATGCTTGCAGGTGTCATTACATATAAACAGCGTTGGCAGAATTTGACATTATTGGTCATTTTGACGGATAGTATCAGTGGTGTATTTTTAACTAGTTTTGTCTCAGGTTTTTAGTTTAAATTTTTGGCCGTGGAAAATTATGGGGGGGAGAGAAGTGATTAGACAGTTATTTAATGACAACAGATGCTGAGACACAAACTAATTAAAAATTTATGAGCTGCTAAGACACAAATTGGCAACATTGCATATCAAACGATACAAAGTAACTAGCCTTAAGTCAACAAAGCAGACTGTTCCTAGTGTTCATTCAGGAGTCCATTTGTAACAAGCATTGTTCAAAAGTCTGCCACTGGATGTTGACTCCAATATTCTCAAGCTGCATTTTTCTTACTTTGCCTTTCTGTATATTTTGATTCTTATCAGTGGCAATGTTTTGTCATCTATCTGAGCGCATGTCTGGTGAGACTGATGTTTACCGACATTTACTGATAAAAATCAAATCCTCTCAAACTTAAATATGGACTTCAGAGTCTTTGCCTTAAAGCAGCTGTACAACTTTCTAGTTCTGCTGTGGTTTTGATTAACTTCATTCTATTTGCAAAAACAACGAGAGTCTTCAGGCACCTTAAAGACTAACAGTTTCATTGGGGCACAAGCTTTCATACCTGACAAAGTGCTTTTTACCCTCCAAAACTTATGCCCCAATAAATCTGTTAGTGTACATCTACACTGCGGTGCTATTTCGGGATACTTTGGGTATTCTGAAATAGCTACTCCATGTCTTTTGAGCAAGCCTATTATTTCAAAACATAACTGGCCCACTATTCTGACATCCCTGTAAAACTCGTTCCACGAGGAGGAAGGGACGTTTCGGAATAATGCTCTATTTTGAAATTTGGCGCTGTGTAGCAATTTCAAAATTAACTCGAAATAAGCTATGCAATGTGCTGGAGACGCACCCTTAGGCTATGTCTACACAGCAGCATTATTTCAAAATAACATAGTTCACACAACCGGCAGTTATTTCAACATAATATCAAAATACTGTCACGGTGGAGGTCTTCTTACACCGACTCCCATAACCCTCATTTTATGAGAAGTAAGGGAAGTCGGGGAAGCGTGCTCTATTTCGAAATAAGTGCTGGGTAGACAGCTTATTTTGAGTTTCAGTGCTATTTTGAAATAAGGTTTGCAATTGACGTAGCTCAATTTGCCTAGCTTATTTCAAGTGAAGCCCTGCAGTGTAGATGCACCTTTTCTTGAAGGTGCCACAGGACTTCTTCTTTCTTTCTTTCTTTTTGCAGATACAGACTAAGAT